CTGAAAAAAATCCCAAAAATCCCCCAAAAAGTCCTGAAAAAAACTTCCAAAATATCACAAAAAAATCCCCCCCAAATATTGGTGAAAAAATCTTGGAAAAAACCCAAAATTGCCCAAAAGATCATGTCCCACCTGCAGGACAACATCCAGCACGCTGACCCCCTTGTGCAGGTGGAAAAAAAATCAAAATATTTAAAAAAAATTAACAAAAAAAATTGGGAAAAAATCAGCAAAAAAAATCGCGAAAAAAGAACGGAAACAGCCGAAAAAATGGCCCAAAAATGGCTCAAAAGATCCGTGTCCATTTTTTTCTCAGATCCTGTAAAACCGCACCATGGTCACAATGACCACACTGACCACACTGACCACTCCCTTTTTCCCACAGATCCTCTACAATCGGACCATGGTCACACTGACCACACTGACCACTGAGTGACCACTGACCACTCCATTTTTTTATTTTAGATCCTTTACAACCGCACCATGGTCCAGTTGGGTCACACTGACCACTCTGATGTCCATTTTTTTATTTCAGATTCTCTACAATCGGACCATGGTCACAATGACCACAATGACCACACTGACCAGAGTGACCACTCCATTTTTTTATTTCAGATTCTCTACAATCAGACCATGGTCCAGTTGGGTCACAATGACCACACTGACCACACTGACCACTCCATTTTTTTATTTTAGATTCTCTACAATCGGACCATGGTCCCGTTCGGTCACAATGACCACACTGACCACTCTGATGTCTATTTTTCCCCAGATCCTGTACAACCGGACCCTGGTCCAGCTGGGCCACAATGACCAGAATGACCACAGTGACCACACTGACCATTGACCACTTCATTTTTTTTCCCACAGATCCTGTACAACCGGACCATGGTCACACTGACCACACAATGACCACAATGACCACTCCATTTTTTTTTCTCAGATTCTTTATAACCGCACCATGGTCACCATGACCACAATGACCACACTGACCACTCTGATGTCCATTTTTTTCTCAGATTCTCTACAATCAGACCATGGTCCAGTTGGGTCACCATGATCAAAATGACCACAATGACCACTCCCATGTCCATTTTTTTATAGATTCTCTACAATCGGACCATGGTCACAATGACCACACTGACCAGAGTGACCACTCCCTTTTTCCCACAGATTCTCTACAATCGGACCATGGTCACAATGACCACACTGACCACACTGACCATTCCCGTGTCCATTTTTTCTCAGATTCTCTACAACCACACCATGGTCCAGTTGGGTCACAATGACCACACTGACCACACTGACCACTCCATTTTTTTTATAGATTCTGTACAATCGGACCATGGTCCAGTTGGGTCATAATGACTACACTGACCACAATGACCACTCTGATGTCCATTTTTTTATTTCAGATCCTCTACAACTGGACCATGGTCCAGTTGGGCATCTGCGCCTTCCGCCAGGGCCTGATCAAGGACGCCCACAACGCCCTGCTGGACATCCAGAGTGACCACAATGACCACAGTGACCACTCCTTTTTTTTAATTTCAGATTCTCTACAATCGGACCATGGTCCAGTTGGGTCACAATGACCACTCTGACCATTCCCATGTCCATTTTAGATTCTCTACAATCAGACCATGGTCACACTGACCACTGAGTGACCACTCCATTTTTTCCCAGATTCTCTACAACCGCACCATGGTCCAGTTGGGCATCTGCGCCTTCCGCCAGGGCCTGATCAAGGACGCCCACAACGCCCTGCTGGACATCAGAGTGACCACAATGACCATTCCTGTGTCCATTTTTTTATTTTAGATTCTCTACAACCGGACCATGGTCCAGCTGGGCATCTGCGCCTTCCGCCAGGGCCTGATCAAGGACGCCCACAACGCCCTGCTGGACATCCAGAGCTCGGGCCGGGCCAAGGAGCTGCTGGGGCAGGGTCTCCTCCTGCGGAGCCTCCAGGAGCGCAACGCGGAGCAGGAGAAGGTGGAGAAGCGGCGCCAGGTCCCGTTCCACATGCACGTCAACCTGGAGCTGCTCGAGTGCGTCTACCTGGTGGCGGCCATGCTGCTGGAGATCCCCTACATGGCCGCCCACGAGTTCGACGCGCGCCGAAGGATGATCAGCAAGCAGTTCCACCACCAGCTGAGGGTCGGGGAGAGGCAGCCGTTGCTCGGTGAGTGGGTTTTGAGCGGAAATTTGGAAATTTCGACCCAAAATTTGGGTTCTGAGGTCCATAATTACCTCAGGTAGGTCTTGGTTGCGTCATTTTAGGCCCAAAAATGGCGATTTTGGATCTCCTTGAGGTTCTTCAGACCATGGTTGGGTTCTTTTGACCAAAAACCCACTTTTTTGACGGAAATTCGCCACTTTTGACCCAAAATTTGGGTTCTCAGGTCCATAATTACCTGGGGTAGGTCTTGGTTTGGTTCTTCTATCTCGTATTTTGGAGATTTTAGAAGTTCCTGATGTTCTTCTAAGCATCATTGAGTTCTTTGGTCAAAAACGTGGATTTTGACCCAAAATTTTGGGTTTTGAGGGCAAAATTTGGGTTCTGAGGTCCATAATTGTGTCAGGTCCATCTTGGTTCCATCATTTTAGGCCCAAAAATTGTAATTTTGGATCTCGTTGATGTTCCTCACACCATGGTTGGTCGTTTTGGTCCCAAATTTGAGTTTTTTGCCCCAAAATGCCCCAATTCACCCCAAATCCGGGCCGTCCCCGCCCCTGGAGCTGCAGGGGGCGTGTCCCTGGTGACGGCCATGCTGCTGGAGATCCCCTACATGGCCGCCCACGAGTTCGACGCGCGCCGGAGGATGATCAGCAAACAGTTCCACCACCAGCTCAGGGTCGGGGAGAGGCAGCCGTTGCTCGGTAAGAAGAAAAAAAAGGGTTTTTGAAGGGTTTTGACCCAAAATTTGGAAATTCCGACCCAAAATTTGGGTTCTCAGGTCCATAATTGTGTCAGGTAGGTTTTGGTTGCGTCATTTTAGGCCCAAAAATGGAGATTTGAGATGTTCTTGATGTTCCTCAGACCATGGTTGCTTCTTTTGACCAAAAATCCACTTTTTTGATGGAAATTCGCCACTTTTGACCCAAAATTTGGGTTCTCAGGTCCATAATTACCTGGGGTAGGTCTTGGTTTGGTTCTTCTGTCTCATATTTTGGAGATTTGAGAAGTTCTTCATGTTCCTCAGACCATGGTTGGGTTCTTTTTACCAAAACCAAGGGGCTTGACCCAAAAATTCAAAATTTCAACCCAAAATTTGGGTTCTCAGGTCCATATTTACCTGGGGTAGGTCTTGGTTCCGTCATTTTAGGCCCAAAAACGGAGATTTGAGAAGTTTTTGATGTTCCTCAAAGCATCATTGAGTTCTTTGGTCAAAAAGGTGGATTTTGACCCAAAATTTTGGGTTTTGAGGGCAAAATTTGGGTTCTCAGGTCCATATTTAGGTCAGGTGGGTCTTGGTTCAATCATTTTAGGCCCAAAAATGGCGATTTTGGATCTTCTTGATGTTCTTCAGACCATGGTTGGGTTCTTTTGACCAAAAATCCACTTTTTTGATGAAAATTTGCCACTTTTGACCCAAAATTTGGGTTCTCAGGTCCATATTTAGGTCAGGTCGGTCTTGGTTCGGTTCTTCTATCTCAAATTTTGGAGATTTGAGAAGTTCTTGATGTTCCTCAAAGCATCTTTGAGTTCTTTGGTCAAAAATGGCTCTTTTGACCCAAAATTTTGGCTTTTGAGGTCAAAATTTGGGTTCTCAGGTCCATATTTAGGTCAGGTGGGTCTTGGTTGCGTCATTTTAGGTCTAAAAATGGCAATTTTGGATCTCCTTGAGGTTCCTCAGACCATGGTTGGGGATTTTTGACCAAAATTTGAAAATTTTGCCCCAAAATTTCTCTCACCTGTGCTCAGGTGTCTCACCTGTCCCAAAACTTCATTTTCTCCCAAATCTCACAGAATTCTTTGGAAAAAAGTGGATTTTTGGTAAAAATCGCTATTTTTGCACTAAAAAATCGCTATTTTTAGTAAAAAACACCAATTTTTTTCCCAATTTCGCAGTTTTTTGCCCCAAAATTTTGCTCACCTTTGCTCAGGTGTCTCACCTATCCCAAAATTTCATTTTCCCTCAAAAAAGTCGCAAATGTTGCAGAAAAAAGAGCAAATTTTTAGTAAAAAACGTCCGTTTTTGGTAAAAACCACCGATTTTTTAAAAAAAGGGGGTTTTTTTACCGATTTTGCGTTTTTTCACCCCAAAATTTCTCTCACCTGTGCCCAGGTGTCTCAGTTGTCCCAGAGCTTCATTTCCCCAAAAAAATTATGAATCTTGAGTAAAAAAATTGCCATTTTTGCGCTAAAAAGTGGCCATTTTTGGTAAAAAAATCGCTATTTTTGATAAAAATGTGGATTTTTTTTCCCAATTTCGCATTTTTTCACCCCAAAATTCCTCTCACTTGTCCCACCTGTCACTATACTTAATTTTTCCTCCAAAAAGTCACAGATTTTGCAGAAATAGTGCAAATTTTGAGTAAAAAATCGCTATTTTTGTGCTAAAAAATCGCTATTTTTGGTAAAAAAAGGCCGATTTTTTCCCAAAAAAAAGCGGAATTTTCCCAATTTTTCCTTTTTTCACCCCAAAATGTTTTTAGGCCCCCCCGAGTCGATGCGGGAGCACGTGGTGGCCGCCTCGAAGGCGATGAAAACGGGCGACTGGCGCCGCTGCCACCGCTACGTCCTCAAAAACGGGCATTTTTCCCAAAAACGGCGATTTTTGCCAAAAAAAATTGGGGTTTTTTCCCAAAAAATGGGGATTTTTGCTGCTCACTGTGCTCAGGTGTCTCACCTGTCTCAAAACTTCATTTTCTCCCAAATCTCACAGAATTTTTTGGAAAAAAGCGGATTTTTGTAAAAAAAAATCGCTATTTTTGCACTAAAAAATGGCTATTTTTGGTAAAAAACATCGATTTTTTTCCCGATTTCACGTTTTTTCACCCCAAAATTTCACTCACCTGTCTCACTTCTCCCAATACTTCATTTTCCCTCAAAAGTGTCACAGATTTGAGTAAAAAATCGCTATTTTTATGCTAAAAAATTACTATTTTTGGTAAAATATCGCTATTTTTGGTAAAAAACAGCAATTTTTTCCCAAAAAAAGCTGATTTTGCCCCAAAATTTCACTTCCCTGTGTCACCTGTCCCAAAACTTATTTTTCTGTGCGAAAAAACCCAGATTTTGAGTAAAAAGTCGCTATTTTTGCACAAAAAAATCGCTATTTTTGGTAAAAAACGGCCGATTTTCACCAAAAAAACGCCGATTTTTTCCCAAAAAAAAATGAAATTTTCCCAAAAAATGCTGATTTTGCCCCAAATTATTCCAGGACCCCCCGAGTCGATGCGGGAGCACGTGGTGGCCGCCTCGAAGGCGATGAAAACGGGCGACTGGCGCCGCTGCCACCGCTACGTCCTCAAAAATGGGCATTTTTCCCAAAAATGGCGATTTTGGCCAAAAAATTGGGATTTTTTTCCCAAAAAATGGGGATTTTTGCTGCTCACCTCTCTCACGTGTCCCAAAACCTCTTTTTCCCCTAAAAAAGTGGATTTTTTTAGGAAAAAACGCGGATT